TTGACCACATTTAATGGTAAGAGACTTTGTTATCCTGATCTTATAATTTTCTTCACATATAATTTTTTTTATAGGTGATTTTGCCCAACGGAATTGGGTAAACTGTTAAGGTGATTGTTTTTGCTCAAGATAGTTTCTTCACTTTGATGCTTCATAAGTTGTTAATTTATCTCGTTTGGTTTATTTAATTAGAATTTTTAAATATCCTTTAATTCTACTATATGAGGAATTGCTAACAATAATCATGATATATATAGATAAAGAATGACTTTAGGTATGGTACTCATAATGAATATTTATTATTAATAATATGTAATTTTATAAGATATTTGTTTGTTTCATAGTGAATATTTAATCATTTAGGTATGTGGGGATTTACTAGCTTATGCAACATAGTTGCTATTCTCCTTCACTTTGTGCATCTAGATGGATTTTTGCTTATTCCTTAATTTATTAATTTTGACTAAACATAGTGCCTTAGATGCGAAATTCTTTTTTTTGTTAGTTTTTCTTTTTGTTCCTAGTGTTTTTATCATTTCAACTTATTTGCATATAATGGTTGTTGGCATGCTCTTCTGATTGAATGCGTGATAATGCTTATGATATTTAACTACACAAAAGGTTATTGAAATTGTCGATCAAGAAAAAAAAAATAGATTATTGAAACTAATGAGATAGTATCTAGTTTTGCTAAGATTGAATTCATACTTAGGGTTGAAAACCCATCACAGATTTTCCTAAGTTACAATTTTGAAAGGTTAAAGAAGTTCTGAAAAAAAAAAAAAAAGAAGTTAACCTTAATTTAGAATTTTAGATTTAGTTTTGTTGCCAAAATATTTAAATTTATGTTAATCATTCTCCTTGATTAATCTTTTCACCTTACAAAGAGTCATTTTTTTTTTTTTAAGATTGGTTGAAAGTGATTAAGGCAACAAATTTTAAATGTAAAAATAGTTGAAGAAGTGGAGCTTGTAAGAAGAGAACAAAACACTAAAGGCAGAAAAGTGGATGCTTAGTGTTCTATTACAAATAATGGAGGTGTTGAGGCTTAACATTTCTTTTTTAAGCTATTCAATTATAGTAAAACTTTAAATATAAACTTTAATAACATAATTTTCATTTTTTTAGTAAAACAACAATTGTTATTAGTTATCATATATTCGTATGAAAATCAAAGTTTATAAATTTTATGTTAATGTGTAGACATTTGACTTAATGTGTAGACATTTGACTTTATGTGAAGAGAGGATTTTGTCAAAATGGAAATTCTTGTAGAATTTATAGAATTTGGTTGAATGCAAAGTATTTTATTGAACATATAGATCTATTAAGTATAACTCTTTAATTTAAAAAAATATTAATACTGGTTTTGCATTGTGAAATAGTGTAGGACTAGCAATTTTTCTTTTTTCCACAGAAAGGTCTATACGAATGAAAGAGGTTTTGTCCCTATTGCCTTAGGATCTATATTGGTGGAAGATTCCATTAGTATAAACCCTATACTGACAAAGTTTTTATGGACAAAAAATGTCTTCTTCATAATAGATATCCTAAAGTCTATATAGACAAAAAAAGGGATCTATAGGGATGAAATCCTTTTATCTCGATAGACCTATTACCTTGTAGTGTTAATTGTAAACTATTTTTTTTTTAGTAAGATTTTTTTATGAGAAAAAGATAAGGAAAGAAGCATATATTGACATGAAGACTAAAGAACATAAATTAAACTATTTAAATTATATTGATGCCATGTGGAAGGATGGTTTCAAATTGCCTATTTAGATCTTCTTTTTTTGGCAAAATTTTAGACTTTGCAACAATTACATTACACTTTTTGTTTGTTAGATATGTTTTATATTACTTGTTTTTTTTTTTCTTTTCAAATTGTGTTTGGAATTATTATTACTATTATGGTTTTTTTTTTTACATTAGATTATGAGCTATACAAGAAGGGATAATCTTCCTCTATTTTCAAATCCTTTCCCATCTGACTCAAGGCTTGAACTTAAGATCTCTAACTTGGAATTTCAAGCTCTTAATCATTGAGTTACCCCATTGGGGTTCTTACTATTATGGTTATTGCATTAATAAGTTTGCATTATTAAAACTTATTTTTATCTATCTAATTTTAATTCACATGAATATTTGGCTATTATTTAATTTAATTTAGTTTTATTGTTTTGCACAGTATTATTTAATTTTATATTAGTGTCTTTTTTATATAAATATGGATATGGAAGTGAAGGTAGATATGGATGACTTTGAAAAGGCATTAATTGAAGAAAATGAAGAGGAATGTCAAATGATAGTTTCAATGGTTGGATCAATAAATTAGTATTATTTGAACTATGTAGACAAGGAACCTTGCATGAATTTTTTTCAAACTAGGTACATGTGGCTGCTAGAAATAATTAGAGGGAATGACACTAGATGTATCAATATGTTTAGAATTGATGAAAATACATTGATTAGCCTGCCTTTGTAATGACATACAAAGTAATTATGGATTTGAGGCTTTAAGAAGGATCTTAGTTATGGAGGAAGTATGTATGTTCTTATATACCATTGTTTTAAATAGATAAGTTCAAAAATGATTTCAACATTCAGGGGAAATAGTGAACTGATGTTTTAAGGAAGTGTTGAAGGTAATGTTATACTTATCAATTGCTTTAATAAAACCATAAGATCTCACATTTAGCACCAGTCCTCGTGAAATAGTTGATGATGAGAGATATATGCCTCATTTTAAAGTAATGCATTTTGTTAAATTTCTTTTTCTTCTTATTTATTTTTGGCATTAAATTGTTTTTTTTTTTTTTTGGTAAAAAGTATCAGACCTTTTATTAGGTCACATCATATATTATAAAATAGTAACTTCTCAATGGCCATCATGTCCCATGAGTGTATATAATTAGTGAACTCTTTTAAACCAAACTTTTTTTATTTCTCCTAACTCTATATGTCATGCAACTGTGTAGGTTGTCTAATTTCTCTTATATAAGGTTTTTTTATTTGATATATTATTTAGGCCTTTAGGGTTGATAATTTAAATTGATATTATTATTATTATTATTATTATTTTAGAATTGTATTAGAGTTATTGATGGAACTCACAATTTGGCATGTGTAAGAAAGGAAGATTAAATATGGTTTACTAATGGATGAAAAGGAATACCAACACAAAATGTAATGGTTGCATTTAGATTTAATCTACAATTTACTTTTGTATTAACAGGTTGAGAAAGTACAACTTATGAAGCACAAATATTTCAGTATGTTACTTGCAAGAAAGAATTAAATTTTCCAAAACCACCACCAAGTATACATGATATAATTTTATATTTATCAAGATATATGTATTACAAAATGTTGATTGGCATTTTTTTTATAAAATATGTGAGAAAATATTATTTAATAAATGCTGGATATCCTCAAATTCAAGGATTTCTTGGATCGTATAAGGGAATAAAAAATCATTTATCTAACTTTGAACGTGGTTGTCAATCTAAAGGCTATAATAAAATTTTTAATCATTGGCATTTTTCTTTGAGAGATCATATTGAACATACTTTTTAGGTTTGAAAGGCTAGATTTAAGATATTTTTAATAATACTTTCATATCCTTTTAATGTGTAAAAAGATATTGTGAATATATCAATAGCCGTATATAATCATATTTGTAGAAATGTACTAGCAAATCCAGCATTTACAAGACTTGATTGAAATCTTGATTTTGTGCCATATGAGGAAGTGGAACATAGGAAGGAATTTCATAAGCAAAATTATATAATTGCCCTTAGAGATTAATGAACTACATGATTGAATAACTCAAAAAAAGATTAACTAATTAGATAGTTTATTAAACATTATTGACT